CCTTTCCCCAATGTCAGGTGTACTGGTTTTGGCTGGGATAGAGGTAACTTTCCTCATAGTAACATGCATGGTGCTGTGTTTTGGATTTGCGGTGTCAACTGTTGATGGCACAGGGATGTTCAGGTATTGCTCAGCAGTGCTTGCGCAGCATCCGGCCTTTCTTGTTTCTCAAGCTGCCCCGCCAGCAAGTGGGCTGGGGGTGCACAGGAAGCTGTGAGGGGGTACTGTCAGGACAGCTGACCCCGACTGACCACAGGGATATCCCACACCAACTGTGTGGCCATCTCGCACAGCATATAAAGATGGGGGACAGAGGAGGAAGGGGAGACTGAATTCAGAGTTGTGGCATTTGTCTTCCCGAGTCACCCTTAGGTGTGATGGAGCCTGGTTGTCCTGGGTATGGCTGAGCCCCTGCCTGCCCATGGGAAGTGGTGAATGAATTCCTTCGTTTGTTCTGCTTGCGTGGGTGGGTGGCTTTTGCTTTACTTGTTAAACTGTCCTTATCTCAACCCATGAGTTTTCTCACTTCTACCCTTCTGATTCTCTTCCCTCATCCCACTGTGGGGGAACAAGCCAGTGGCTGTGTGGGATTTTAGCTGCATACCAGGGTTAAACCACAACACCAGGTTATTGAGCCATCTATGAGGTAATGCTGATGTAAGGGTTTTAACGTTCATATGCCTAGCCAGAGACCATGAATGTTTCTCTTCCCAGTTTATAGTGCACTCAATGAAGGCTGTTTCTGCCTGTGTGTTAGAGTTTCTAGCATCTTCTGGAACTCCAGGTTATGGAATGAAACAGAATTCAGTGATGGTAATTAATTCTTCCTGACCTTTGTGTTATCTCCAGTTTGCCTAAATGATGTAGGTGTTACGATACAGCTGTTGAAAATCATTTAGACACTACAATAGAGCTAAGAGCAACACTAAAAAAATTCCCAGAATTCAAGATGTCGGATTTCCTCAATCTTGTCATCAAAATGTACTGTAGGTTTGTTTCTGACACTGGTGTTCTGTCTACTTGTTTTGACTATGTTACTTTAGAAACAAGGTATCCGGGGAGAGCAGTTTGTGTGACTGTACTCTATAGGTACAAAGTTTGAGGTATGTGCATGTAAGTATGATGCTGCACAAGGACTGCATTTCATGAGGTTGTATAGGCTGACTAAAGTGGTGCTACTTTTACCTTTTTGTTTTCAGCACATTAGCTTTCCATAACGGAGAACAAATGTATCCTTTGAAATGGAAGTCAAGAACAATACTGCATGATAGCATTGTTTTTTTAAAAGTTGTGCAGATAAACATGTTCTATTTCTTATGTTGCAGGAGTGACATAAAGAAGCAGAAAAAACAGTATTAATGATGTTTTTTTAGTTGTGTCATATGAATATTTGGAAAATGCTGGGGCAGGTTGAAGTCAGGTGGGTGCTGGTTTTCTGAAAGGTTTGCTTGATGGCCTCCAGGAGCCCACAGACCCCACGCAGGCATCTGGGCTCACCAGGACTGAGGGCGTTCCTTCCCCTGGCAGTGCTGACGTTCAGTACGGTCTTGGCTTCAGTGAGGTGTAAACCTGAGATTTTGTTCTCATCCACGCAGGTAGTTGATCACTGGGCCAGTCCTACATGTTGGTGTTTGCATGGTTTCTGCCCACCTTACCTAATGTGTATTCAATTGCATCATGTAAAATGAAACTTTGATTCAGGGAACCAAGAGCCTTTTATTTTTGGTCAACTTGCTTAAAACCTGTTTAGAGAAGTCATGTAAGGAAAGGGTACAAATTCCAGACCCTGCAAAAATGAAAGTTGATTTTATAGTAACAAACTCCCAGCTGTATTCTGTTACTGCTGGACTGTTTAATTAAAAAGGAGATACTACTGCCATGTCCTCCTCCTAGGGCAGGACAGGGAGAGCGTGCATGCACGTGTGTGTGTGTGCACACATCTGCAAGTGTGCACACTAGTTGGAGAAAGCGAGAAACGATGTTTTTAGATTATTCCCTTTGTAACAGAAGTGTTCATCTTAAAGCAAGTCAGAGTCTCTTTTTTTTGCTAGTGAAAATACTGTGGAGTTGCTAGAAGGGAAAAAACCACCACAAAACAAAAAAACCCTTAGCTTTTGAAAACTTGTCTATACAAACTTTTATATAAATTGCTTGTCATGCTCTCTTAAATTGCAAAGACCTCTGTGAGCTATGATGGGTTTAGACCAGAGTGAAAGTCAAAGATTTTAAGAGGTCATACCAGTTGCTGGTGCTGTGCCTGCTAGATGCCTTTTCCAGACACATGCTGAAGCTACACTAAACAGAATGTGGTGCAGAGTCTTAATTCTGTGCACAGGGGAATTGCGTAGTGCAAGCTGGAACTGTATAGCTTAGAAAACACTGATGGCATCATCTGCTTCCCTAGAAAACTCAGTTCTTCAAGAAGTGCTGCTTCAGCAGCTCACCAAAAGGCCACTTTTTTATTTTGATCCTTTGTTCAGGCATTGTGCAGGTGGTGGAAACAAGCTATGCAAACCTACAAAGGAATGAATTTCTAGCTGCTGCACCTGCACCAGTGAGGCTGTAACTGCTGCTATGGGTGAGGTTGTGGCCACTCCAGAGAAGGGAATGGCCAGCAGGCGAGATAGTCCTGAGGCTCCCCCTGCCCCACGCTGCCAGCAACAGTGCAAGCAGTCATCTTCCTTTGAAGATTATTTATGCATTATAAATGATTGCAATACAGTTTTCCAGCATTTATTGTAACTTTAATAATGCAGTCATCTTTTGCACAAGACCTGAATCCCAACATTTCCACTTCCCAAGTGCTCTACAGTAGGGTCTTGTTTCAGCTTTCTCCGTTGATTAATTTTGAATTAATTTTCTGCACAGTCACTTCTAGATGTCAGGTGTGCAGAATGTGTTGGATCCCAGGGCCAGGTTCTTAGAGGCTCATAGAGGGCAGCAAAGCTGGTGAAGAGCTGGAAGGCATGTCCTGTGAGGAGTGAGTGGCTGAGGACTCTGGCTGGTTTGGAGAAAAGGTGGTTGAGGGGTGACCTCATGGCGCTCTGCAGCTTCTGGAGGAGGGGGGACATGAAGAGGGAAGTGCTGAGCTCTTCTCCCTGGGATCCAGGGACAGTGTGGGAATGGTTCAAACCTGCCTCTGTCCTAGGAGGTTTAGACTGGACATTTGGAAGCATTTCTTTATTGAGAGGGTGGTCAAACACTGGAACAGGCTTCCTGGAGGTGCCTCGAGCCTCTTGGTGTTCAAGAGGCATTTGGACAGTGCCCTTAATGCCACGCTTTAACTTTTGGCCCTGAAGTGGTTGGACTAGATGATTGTTGTAGGTCCCTTCCAACTGGAACTATGCTAATACTATAGAAAGCAAAGGTAGTTGAAGAGCATTATGTTCTTGATGGTTTTCCTGTCTCCTAGGCCTGCATTTTATGCTATTGCTCCAAGTTTCTGGGCATACATGTATATTGGATCTCTGACAGATGAAGTAGGGGACACATGATGGTGCCATTTATCTCTACAGAACAGAAAATTTAAAGTGCTGCAGGTAACAGATGTAGTTTCTTTGACAAGAATGACATTAAGAAATCCCACTAAGCTGCAAGTTGTTAAAGAAAAATTGAAGCTTTTTTTAGTAAGGATTTAAAAGCATTTTATTGATTGTTGTCCTATAAAATCATAGAAGTCTTTAATTCCTGAAGAACTGTGTCCAACAATAGGAAAAATGTCTTTAAAAAATTACACTTTTTTTTTAAAAACTAGGTATGAAATATATACACTGCATTAAAAAAATCTGAATAAAATTAATGTCTGGATTTATACATTCAGTTGTGTTAAACATCTCCTTGTGTACAATAAAATTTGTTAACATATTAGCAGTATTTTTACTGTTAAATAAGTCTTTGTTCAATTTACAGTTTATCTCATCAGTTCACTTATAAATTAATTTACAAGGCTGTATAACCACTGTCAAGGTAAGTGTTCTTGTACAATTATTGCCTTCCTAACAGATTTTAAATTGTTAGAGATACATCTTTATAAACATCCAATTCATTGACAAATTGCATCAACATATTACACTATATAAAACAATATACAGCCCCTTTAAAGAAGATGGGGAATACAATGTGAAGAAAGGCTTTGTACTACACGTTTTTCCCTCATGTTTATTGAACATGTATTCTACCCTGCTGAGTTATCAGCTGGTCCTTAAGAAGGTGAATGTTTATAATACAAACTGTCACACCTATATACAGAAAAGATGCACTGCTGTTTACTTTGTTTTTGAGTGCATTGTTCACACAACATTAAAGTGGGTGGGTTTTTTCTGTGAAATTCCAAAGCTAAACTGTACATGCAAAAATTTAGCAGGTGTTGTGTGTAGTGCAATTGTGAGAAGCCTTCTCTAAAGCAGAGAAGAGCATGTGTGAAGCAGCACCACTGCAAGCTCCTCTGAAAGTAGGTAGTCCTTTATGAATTACAGGTGACACAACTGGGAAGTATCCCATTCACATACTCCCTGGTACTGCGAATGTAACACTGCTCTTTCTTAGGAGCAGGAAACCCCCAGTATTGCTGTTCACCTCCAGCTCAATGGATTGTGTGAGTTTCTGGTGTTCAGACTCCCATGTTCTGGTGTTCAGACTCCCACCATGCAGACTGCTACATGGAGTTCTGCTTCTGAAAGTCACAGATGGGAGAAAGAATTTGTAGAGAGGCAGGGATGGAGAAGTAAAGTTGAAACTGAAATCTGAGTCAGAAAGATGCATGGCTGATCTCCAGGGCCTAGGAAACTACTTCTAGTTGAAATCTACTGCTCGAGCCAGGTTTCAGTTCAGAGCTCTTAAAACAAAAAGGGATGAGTATCCGAAACATCAGTGTGCTGTTACTGAATCTTTTGCATTGGTGACCCACATCTTCCACGCAAGAGCCATAGGGCATGCAGCCATGCCCCACTGACAGCCATTAGTGCAAATCCTGTAGTGTAGTATGAAGAAGTAAAAACAGTCTACACATTGGTTTCAAGTCCAAGTAAGCGTCCCATCCGTTCCATGTTCTTGTCAATTGTGGCACGACATGTGATTTCTTTAGCACACTCCATAGGAAACCAGCCTCTTTCGCCATCCCGCAGTCGTTCCCCTTCATACCAACCTGCAAGGGTGAACAGACAAGGAGGAACAAACCTTTTCAAGGAATATTAAAGGTACTTTGTCAGAACTGTGTGTTTTGCACCTGAGATGACACAGCTGACAGTCATCACCTATATTATACATTTACCTTTGTAGTGAATAAAGTATCATCAGATTAAGATAGGTTCGGCAGAATTTTTTTTTATACAAGCAGACTAGGAATACTATGTAAAAATAAGCATTATATTAACTGAGTGTAAAAAATCTTTAATATTGTAATTCAAATATAGTTTGAAATACTATAAAGAATATACTATCACTGCAATTTAAAGAAAGTAATGCAGCACAATTGACAGGATTTTTGATTTCATATGCAATATTGAATAACGTCATTAAGTTAGGATTTAGTACTTCAGGTGCTGACAGCTTCAAGCACTGAGTCAGCATGTTATGAGATATTAGTAGAATCACTTGCAGGTCTAGGCAAGAATAGATTTTGATCTCAGGGTACTTGAGATGCAATGGAAAACTTGGGCAAGAGCACTGTGCTAAACCCCTATACTTAACAGGCAGTGAAGCAGGGTGTATGACACAACTAATGATGTGTATGTTCCTCTTGGACAAACCTGGTGCGCGCTCACCAGAATGCCTGCGCTCCATGTTCTAGGTAGAATTCAGTTTCTTATTTGTGGATGTTCCACAGGTAAAAACCAGCCAGCACACACTTTCTGCAGCTATTTATACTAATTATGGTAGGCCGTGAGTTACTTTGAACATCTGTTGCCTGAACAGAGGCTGTCCTTTAGAAACCTGAACCAAAGTGCTCATGTTCTTTTAGGAAGCTAAAGCTTTATTCATTGTACATCCAATGCTATTAGTAAACAAATTTTTCTAGCTGGATTCACCTGCAGGGGGGACAGATGGTTACCAACAACAAAATTCTCACTCACCATCATTTACTTTTTGATAAACCAAAACAACATCAGCAACTTGAAGAGACAGTTCATCTGCCTGCTTTGCTGTGTAACTTCTGATGATCTCTACCTGAGTCAAAGCTGTAGAAGAAGTAAGTTAGGCTGAATTAAACAATTCACATAACAGAGTATCTTCCTCCATCTTAAGAGTATACTCCCCCCCAAAAAAACCCCAAGGGAGGCAGCAAATTATGAAAGCAGCTTCCTACCTGAGCAATTACAGACAAACAAACTTGGGATAAACATACACGGGAAGGGGCCTTGCACTTTTGCTAACAGATTGAAACAACTGACCAAACCAGTGCCAATGATCGCAAATGGCAATTACTGCATGAAACAGAACTCCTCAGAGAAGCCCCTGGGCAGAGGAAGAGACAGCAACTTCACATATATTAAAGCACCTGAGCTGAGGCAAAAAAATGGACAACATTTCTAAGGGTATTTATAGTCTACACTTGCTCACATCTGGGCCACTAAGCGGCAGTGCATTTCCATTCTGTCATGTCAAAGCTCTCAGAAATCTTGTTAGTTCTAACTTACTTGTCCTGTCAGTTTTCTGCCCGTCTCTGTCTTGTCCAAGCACTGTAATCCAGCGAGCTCTGTCACTCCTGCAAACGCCAAAGACAAAACTCAGTTTCCCAGCTTGTGCTCTTGATAATGGTCAAGACTACTCTCCTTTTCAAGATTCTCTATTTAATTTTTTCCTCTTTTGGGTAAAGAAAACAAAACCTCCATTCTCCTCCTCTCAAAATATGGCCAGAAGCTGTGATACTACTTGTAATAATGTATTATTCAAACACATTTAACTATTTTAAGCATGCTGGATTAGAAAGAAAAGTCCATATATGTGGGACCTACAGGCATGATGTCTCATATACCTTTATTATTTTAATTGTTTTTAAGTAATGTAGGTAAACTTCTCCACTAGTGTCTGTAACTAATACTTACTTTTAAAAAGCCATCTAATGTACAAAGCATCTGATAAATGTAATGCAGCTATTTAAATATATAATACCAACAGGTCTTCTGCGAGTAAGAACTATCTGCAACACGCATTTAGGATGAAAAGCAAGAATTAAACAAACAAACAAACAAACAAAACTCCAAAGTTTCTCTGTGCTCTCAGAAGAAGAGAGTTATGTTCCCAGATGTGTCGGTTTGGGGAATGTAAGAGCCAGCACAAATATGCAGTGAATCTAGTCATTTGAATCTCACTCTGTATAACCTAGAAACCTAGAAAAAACATAATCAACCTCAGATTACATGTGTCAGAATTTCTGAGGAGAGCAGAAAGAATTATCTAGATTCTGATCTGATTTATACAATAAATCACAGAAGTGTAAATTACTGACAACTGATTTTGGGAGTGGAACAAGCTGAAGTGATGTCTAACAGTGAAGTAAAAAGAAAGCTAACTCTAAATACCCCTATTAACAGCTGAGCTGTAACAACTTAATCGTTATAACCTTGAATTTTGGCAAATCAAAATTCACACTTTTTTCTCAAAACAAATGTTTCCATGAAATTAGATTTTATCTCATGTTTGTTGAAGAGCTTTGCTATCACTACAGCCTGAAGGGCAGAGGGAGGGAAGGAATTACTTGAACATTGCACTGCGCATCATTCCACGATAAAGTTCATCAGCCCCTCTGAGAACACCACCACCTTCACATGGCCTTTCTTCCAGCCAGCTCTAGAAACCTCTTTTCTGTTCACAGATGATCAACACTTCCTTTGGATGAAGGGATTCAGAATAGGTGTCTTTCTGAGCATGCTTCTTTCAGAATAGAAAAAACCCCACTGATTATTTTGAATATAAATATTTGTACTGGTTTTTTGGCATTTAATAGGAAACTGTGATTTATTTTTTTTTAACCCCAACTAACTCACATTCTTCCTCAAAGATGAAACTACTGCACATGTCCTACTAAAATATGATACCCATTGATCTCATACAGATGGCCAAAACTATGACACATGCTACTTCAGATATTTCAGCCATTAAACGTAAGTGATACTAAACTTGTTGTGTTTCAACCAAAATAAGAACTTCTGTTTACAATTTTGCATGAGCTCAACTTTGTGGCTTTTTTTTTTTGAAACAGGTGTTTGTTGTTTAGACTCATCTTTTCCTTTCCCATTCTTAACAGGAAAACCACATTTCTTTTCAGACAACTCTGAGGAAAACGGGATAATGCCACTGTCTCCCAGTTTTAAGTACATATTTCTTTGTAATCTGTGTATACCATGTATTTTGTGCCTTATTCACAGGGCAATAAAACGTCCCTGAGCTAACGCTGGTATTTTTGTACTTGGGAACCACACACCACATGAAGTGACAAAACATTATCAGAAATCTTTGCGTCAGCAAAAACATCAAGTTTGACACGTGCAAAACTCTGTTCAATAAGCACTCTAAACTATCCAGCTTGGCTTCCTACTATAGCTTCCCTTCCCATTCTTCTCAAAGTTAAAGGTAAGTTAAGTTTTCCTCTACCTTTTGTATATATGATATTACTCTATAAAGTTAGGTAATTTTCAAATACAGTACTATTCAGAATCTTTTCCTCTGAATGATAATCTGCTAGACTGCCTTTTGTATTACAAACAGTATACAGCAAATCAATAATAAATCTGCAGAACAAAATGTCTTTTCATAAAAAGTCCAGACAACTAAAAATGTCCTGCATTTTTTCCCAATAAAAATGCATTTCCAAACAAGTCTGAATCATCTGCTTACTTTATAATGAGATCTTTAATAGAAATCATTAATGATCTGTAGTTTCTTTCAGGGTTATTCTAAACTTTGAAAGCAAATAAATTTTTCCAGGCAGGGATATGTCTGGAGCACTCTGTTTCATGTCTTCTGTCCCGCCTCCTGCTTCCACTGAAACAGATAAAATCTTTCACTTTTGTGAAGGAGTGTGTGGAAGTTAATGGCACCACAGAGAAATGACAGCCTCTCAGATATTTGCACCCCAAAGAACAAGACGCTTCTTGTTGCTTGTTTCTAAAGCAGAACACTCTTCAAAACTGCATCAGGACAACAAGGACCACCTCTATCCCAGCACAGCTCCACAGCTTCCCCAAGGCAGTGCCAAACTCCACCTCCCACTTAATGCAGCTCTGTTTCCACTTCTGCACCACCCAGCCGTTAATAACTCGCCAGTCCCCGCTCCAGGACAGGAGCAGTCTGCATTCACACCCTAACAACTTTTGCCAGCTGCCACCATCATGCCCTTTAGGATGCACCTGTACCTATTTCCGCCCGCTAATACTGTGCTCTGCATGGTACAAATGCCAAATTGCTAAAAGAACTGACAATTAGGATAAGATATTTTAAAACAATTAGGAACAAAACAGTGCAGAAAAGTATCAGAGACAGAGCAAACTTAAATGAATCTCTGCAGTCAGATTATTCAGGGTCTTCTTATCAAGATAAGTATCAAGAAAGCCTCCCTTAACTACAACAGTAAAAAGCAACATTTTCCTCATAGTAACCTGCATTATGCTTAGATCCATGTGCTCAACTACTCAGCCTGCGCAGCAGCACGGTGTGCCACAAGATGGGAACATTGTTACAGAGAGCCTAAAACTGACTCTTGCCACCTCGACTGCTTGCAGTAGACCTTTCATTAGAAATTTTAAAACCTGCAGTTCTCCAGCACCGAGTTCTGTTCCTTGAGGTTTGTAATAGTCTGAACTACTTGTAGGACAGCTACATATTTAAGCAGGCTGTAGAATGCATACATCATCTACAGCGCTTTCAACTACAGCATACTATTTCTGGTTTACTTCAGGCATTTACCCTCTGGACATGATCATCATGTTAACAGGCAAGCTAGGCAGAAAACCTGTGCCTCGACTTCCAGTTCTCAGGTTTGTTAGAGAAGTATTTAAATACATCGTACGGACGCTACAGCGATGACTCAGATACTTAAATTGCATTTGTAGTTCTAATTCAACAGTAAGAAACTTCCATATTGCAGTATGTCATCATTAGGTTGTGCAGTTCACTTAACAGCTGCGTTATGGGGCAGAACGTTGATTTCTTTTTTCTACTGTGAGATCACAGAAGTTGAAAATAAATGTAATGGAAATTCCTTCCTCAACTCCCCCAAATCCCAAGAAATCCAAGCTGCTTAAGTCTCTGTTCAGCAGCTGTTGCATGTTTGCCTCACCACTTGCAACCTGAAGGGATTCGGTAATCCGTGGTGAGGGAGCTGGCAATCTCCATGGCAGAGGCCAAGACCCAAAACAGTAGCACGTAATAATGGATACGTCAGTTTACAGAATTTCAGCATATACATTCAATTTTCCATTATTCCTACACCGTGACCTCAAGGGAAGAGAATGACACTAACGTGACATGGACTTACAACCTCCGAGTCCTCTCATGACAAGATTACATTAGAGAAACTGAACGAGGGTTTGCAGAGGCTTTATTTTATTCCAATGATACTTATTCCAGTATCTGGGGGGATGTTGCGTAAGCTGCACGTTCTCCTGCTCTGTCACATATTGAAGATCAGAGAGGCTTGTCAAGGTTACCTTGCCTCGCTTTGGAAGTATCCGCGTGCAACACATGGTGCAAATCGCAGCAGCTCACAGGCGTCACAACGAGTGCTCCAGCATTACTGAGCAGGGCACCGGCACGCTCCCTGACCAACAGAGGATCGTTTCGGCAGTAGCTCCCCTTTGCTCGGTGCTGATCAACCACTGCAAAGACTGCCCGCTTGGCAGCTCTACTGCCTTTTCTTTAATTTTGATTTAAACTTGCCATACAGACAGGAGCTGGGTATTTTGTACTACCCTGACTGGGCTAGGGTGGGGAGGCAGCCTGTTGAGATGATCAGGTGAAAATTACAGAAACTGTAACTATGTACTTACTGCGTCTCTGTTCCCAGAAGCATCCCCACCTTCTCCCCTGCGTGGTTGCTGAGGACCGCTAGTCTGAAGAGGTGAGGTACAGAACTCTGCCGCGAGTAGAGCATAGTTGAAGCGTTCTTTATAGGAGAAGAAGTCAGGTCCTCACCATCACATTGTTGTACCACCAGCTGGTCCCTTAAAGAATAATCTGTGACATTGTAACTCTCTTCACTGCAAAACAAAGTAGGGAAGAAAAAAAACCCCGCAAGTTTACTTTTCCATTAAGTATGGCAGGAATCAAATGCCACCATAGAATCCACTTTTAACTACATAGTAGGGCATGATTCTTCTGACACCTCAGATCTTCATCTTTCCTGTTTACTTTGTTTTGAAACTACCAATTTTCCAAGATACAAAGTAGATCAGTTTTTAAACCCTGTGGAATTTCATTTGGTGGTGCAGTTAATGACTTTGGTGTTCTCAAGATGGTGTAAGCTCAACTTACTCCACTCAGTTTGAAAACAGGCACAGCACTTGTATAGAATTGTGCTGTTTTTTCTTCTGTAGCTTCAAATGAACCATAGACCTTAATTTTATAATGTTATACAGAAAAAAAGTAAATTTTCCCTTTTTCTGTGCCTGCCTGTAAAACTACTGCTTCCAGATGAACACTGTTGATCTTCATTTTAAATACAGGATCATCAGTCTGTACTCCTTGTCCATCTGCATATAGAAGGTCTAGTGTAAAAACTATTTTACAATATTCTGAAACATAACCTTAGTCAATTGTGCATTTTAAAAATGGGCAAAGGCTTGTCATATACTCTGGTCTTGCAAAATGCACTGTGCAATCCACCTCTTAGAAAGGGCTTTGTAATTAAACATACCAACTCTACGTGATACCAGTAAAGATTGCTCTGTGTGCTTAATAACTTCCTGAAAGTGACTAGAAAGAATTCTAAGAAATGAAGCGAGTTAGGGGCTTTGCTTTCCTTATGGTCAAAACGTAGGTGGAGAGGTGGACAAAACTTAACTTTGCTGACACAGTACCATGTTTGACACAAAAACCAGAAGACCTCAGAACTACTTCTTATGTCAAAGTCATTGAATGTTTAATTATGCCAAAATGACTTAAGGTAGTTTTCCCAGATAGGTGAAAAGATGCAAACAGTAGACATCACAAATCAGAACATAAAAGCATTACTGATTTTAACAACCAAAGGATTACAGTGAAAATATGCACTCTTCCCTGAACAGCAGACTTTTCTTTCTAAAAGTGAGCATCACTTCAGCTAATCAGTATCTTCTTGACAGGTGAAGACAGAAGAGAAGCCTGTCTGGACAAGGCACGCTGTCACATACAACCGTGATAGATCATAGCAGGGAACAGCTCCTTCAACCCCCTATTCTTCAACCTGTTATGATGTATTTCTGATGTGCCCTTCAACTTCAAAATACACAGACATCTTAAGCAGCATTCTTCAGCAGTCTTATGCGAGTTCAACCAGTTATCGTATCTATTGCTTTGGCTACTTACTCATATCAAGGCAATACGAGAAACTTGCGTTTTTTTCCAAGTGGAAAATAACTGTGCATTTCCAATTTCTTAGTGTCATGAAACATAGTTAAAGAAACGGTTAAAAGAATCTACATTGCTTACTCAAGAAATAGCAATTGATCACAAGAAAAGATAAGCCAGCTGAAAAGGCTGTTTTTGTTTCCACTGAAGCTTGTGAGCATACTTCCCAGCATTGTTTCACATGCATTTGCAAGTTTACCAGGATATATCATCAACCCAGGACACTGATAAACTAATAAGCTCATGATTTCATGTAAGCTTGTAAACTTTTTCAGATTTATTGTCCTACACTGGTGCAACAAGAAAACATAGGAAAAAAACCTGCTTACATAGGCATAAAGCCAGTTCTCCCTCCTAGCCCATACATTACTGTGTTTGTCAAATTCTGCAGTAAATAAATCAAATTTTAAGGTGCAACTACACATACTCCACCATAAAGTAAAATCTATTTAGACCTCAGTCTTGAGTGATGAAAAGCTACGCTAGAGCCTCAGATTACTATGGTTCATTAAAATAATTTAAATTGAAAAAATACTTGAGAAGATTAATTTTGATGCCAGAGATATGCAGAAACCCAAGCACTGAACTGATACAAATCAAATCCCAAACACCTGGAACTGAAGTCATCTGAAATGCTGATGGTGACATAGCCCTTCCTGGCAGGTGCAAATGAAGCGCATTCTTCCTTCACGGTTGCTCAACTACTATAAGAAAATGGACAGATGATGACTTGCTGTCTGTTGGGATATATTCGACCCATTTTGTGAACTGTCAGAAAAATACCTGCGAATATCTCAGTAGGTAATACTGTGGTCTTTATAATTCTTATTTCTTCAGAAAAAGAATTGCTAACACACAACTGAGCAACATTATGACTCAAAACAGAAGTTATTGCTCATTTCTGTGACTCTTGCAGCATTAGAAGAATTTCTCTATTCTTCAAGTGAGGACAGGTTTACAGATCGTATTGTATTTGTGGATTTTTGTGGATTAATAGTTTCTGCCAGTGTGTCTAGTGTAAAACCAAAGTTCTTATTTCAATTATGTGGGGTATGTTTTCACTTTTGTTCAGTGAATTAATACTTGAAATGCGTTGGTTTTGCAGCACAGATTTGTCTATTCTCAAACAATCAACATGGAACATGATACTAACGGAACCAATACTTCTCACACGCATTTTTCTTCTCGTCTTTTGTTAAGGAGTTTGGGGGCTTTACAGAGGAAGCAGAAGCAACGACAGACAAGTTTAGTAAGACTCATCATGTAGGAGGAATGAAAGCAATGTAGCTCCTAAGAAGATGAACATTTTTCTTCCCCATTTATTTTTCTCCAAGTCTCAAAACAGTACCAACAATTCCTCACAAGCCACTGGTGTTTTCCACTCTGAGGGTTGGAATCGCAACTTCCCATTCAGGTACCACTGACAAAGGCACAAACATAAAACTTCTAAGAGCGCTGTTGCAAGACCTTAAAACGTCTTTAAAAACCCTCTACACAGTTTTCATCAACCTAGCCTTTGATCAGACTGTTGTTTCCATCTTCCTTAGAGTAAAAAACTTAAAAAATAAATCACATAGGAAATGAGATGTGCACAGCAAACTCTTTTAGAGCTCTGTAAGAATGAAGCCAGGTTAATTATGCTATTACACATGACTTCTTGGGTCCTCAAGTAGAAAGAATGCAGATTACAAATAGGTTTTGGTCTAATTAAAGCAATTTAACATGAGCACTGTGAGAGGCTGTGAGAATCTTCAATATTTCAGCATGTGGAAAGCTAAGTTTTAATTTCAGCACATACAACCCAGGGATGCTAAAAGGAATCTTAATTCAAATGTATTCTGTATGTCCTTATCTTTTGGGAAAGGTGTGCACACAGCTCTTCCCTGAAACATAACAAATTTAAGTTTACTGTGATTGTCCTACTGTAGAATAATGTGTTTTGAGAGAGGCTGTGAGAGGGGAGGGAGTAGAGACTGTGGATTTAGGTTTCACGTTCCCCTAAATCCAGCTCTAGATTCAAATTCATTTATTTATCTACAGAAAGATGCTACTTATCACTTGAGGACAGCTGTTTTAAGGGCCACCCACAGTAGCTGATGGTTCCTACTGAAGAACAAAAAAAAAAGTCTATCTAATATTTATCAGCCCCCCCCCCCTTCTTTTTTCTTACAATATATACTCTAAAATAGGGAGTATGGTGTGGGCTTGGGGGGTTGGTGGTTTTTGTTTTGTTGTAGTTAGTTTGGGTTTTTTTTAATTTGTTTGTTTTTTTTTTTTTAAGAAGTCAGTTTAGTATTTTAGTCTGGGCAATCCCTGCTTAGTCAAGGATGGAACTAGCAAAACCAGCTAGGGATGCCTCTAGTGTTATTTGGGAATCTTGCATCTGAAAAAGAAATGCAGTCTATGCATCTGTGTAACAAGTAATAAATTCATTCCTTACTAATTAATTTGCATAACTAATAACAAATGCATTCCTTACTAATTAATCAGAGATAAACCTCTACAAATCCCTCCTCTTTCTTACAGACTAATTTGAGACCACTAGGCAGTCCTCACCATTCTACCTCCTGTGCCCTCCGTGAGGCCCACACACTCTCCTTCCAAACGGACAGTGAACTGTGCTGCTAAAGCTGGCAGTGCTGCAGCGAGCTGATGTACATAAGCGGAAACTTAATCCGCTCAGCCAGGCAGCAGAGTAACAGGAAGGACATGTAACACATTCTTTAAAATTACTGTAATCAGGTAATACAAACATGCCAACATCAGTTTTCAGTTTAAGATTGAACCTTTTTCCTAAACTTTCATTTAGATTGAGAACATGAAACAACAGGACTATTTCATATTCCTTCACAGGGAATGCATACAAATTCTAGAGGCACTTCTATGAAGACCAGATACCTACTGATGTAGTATCAGCTGTTCTAGGCCACCTATACTCTAACACAAAGCACATTGTCTGTCTCCCTACTTTTTTACTCTTTCCATCATGTATTTCAAGCGATGCAAAACCTTCAGTCTTCTTCAGCTATGTTTCATCACTGCTAAAGAAGCTACGCTACTCTGAAGTCCTTGGTGTTCCACAGGAATTACTCTGCATTTGTGTTTGCCTTCAGTTACAAAATCACCCCGGCACCTTTAGGGAAACTCTGGTTTTGCAAGCAGCTGTGAACCTTTGGGTGATTTCCAGTGTTATGAACTCCAGCTGCATTCCATTGTCAGGGCATCTCAGGAGCTGACAAGCCATTAAGACAGGATTCTAGTGGTGTCTTTAGGGGATTATGGACAACGGAATATTCGATAAATGTACACTCATTCAGAAATATAAGCCTCTCTGGAGTTCACCTGAAACCTTCCAAAAGCACTCAGGCTGTAACTGGTGGATTTTTCTGAATAGCTGGATAAGGCAGCTATTTAGCTGTATATAACAAAACTTTAATTCTGGACTTCTCCTGAACTCTGCAGAACACACAGCCAGCTCACAGGCAGCTTTGAGCATTAATAACTAAAATACGTAACCAGATCTTGGTGGTCCCAGGAGGGCATGTGGAATAAAAGGAGGCGTTTAACTTTTGGCAGAGTTCAAAGCTAGCTGTGTCCAATTTTAGCAGAATATTGTTACAGAGTACGCTGCCAAGCCTCCAAAAGGTATCGGAGAAATCGCCGCCTCTGTAGCCCGGCCCGCTCCTCGGGCAGCTTTGCAGTGTCCACTACAGAAACTCCACCCTGCCTGCCAGCAGACACGTGTGTATCCGAACCCAGCAGTTCTGCTCATCGGCGGTGCAGAAGTATGGGTGACACTGACCCCCACATCTGTGGTTTACAAGAGGGAGAAAACTGAAAACTCATAATTAAGGAAATACATACAAACATAAAAGTAGTATGTGTATTTTAACTGTCTTCTATATTTTAATACAGCACTAATTTCATCATACTTTGTGGAACCTGGAACGGTTTCTTCACTAGCCCAAGAGACAGCAAGTCTCCCAAACATGACACAAGTAACCACAATTGTACTGTGGTGCGTGTGAATCGTGAGGCGGCTTGAAGAACAACTCTAAGAGATCAGTTACATTGCGTGTTACTCCCTATGTCAGAACACCACCTTCACAATCCAGTGTCAGCATAAGCTATTGGTTTACTGGTCCCTGTAGTGGGTGGCGTGGCCACAATGGTGGCAGTTCCCAGTACAGCAAGGAGGTAAATGAAAAAAGAACAGAAGCCAGAAAAGGAGCAAAAAGAGAAAGGAGTTAGAGAATGAAACAAAAGGGTTAAACCAGTAGTGGTTCAGCAACACTAGCACAAAGCTGAATGAACAATACATGAAATATTTAAGTTACTTAGCCTACAGGTAGATCTTTGCAGAGTATTCACAACGTTTAACTTTATAATAATTTCTAACCTATCTGCTGTACTTCTTCAAAGGGCAAGCGTGATGGAGCAACTGATGACCCCTGCTGCTTTACAGCACACAAGTCAGAGCCTAAATGACCCAGGTATGGACCATCCAGTAGCTGACATGGACAGCACGAGTCTCTGAAATACATCATAGCGGCATGAGAGCACGCCACAGCGTCCATTAAAAAGGAAGAGATTTTGGTAGCTAAATTCCATTTAAGCTACTTAATAGGCGAGAGAAGACAGTTAAGCCTTGCAATTTCCATCAGGAGGTGAAATTGTAGCTGAGGAAGATTATGATGAATGAAGTATCATTAAAATTAAAATATGAGAACTCTGGAGCATGCCTTGAGTATACACCAACACAACACCTCCCTTTATCTTTTTATAGCTAAAATGTAACAGTTATTATGAAAATAAAGCTTCTGGAACGCTTTGCTCACTCAGTATTTAAAATGCAGTTCTTCCAATGACTATTCTGACATTTGGAAAGCGTCCCTGAAATGAGGATGGGAGCAGTGATGCACGCCGTATCTGGTTGGACTAGAATTACTTAACACTTACAACATGTCCTCTCTGATGGTACCACCAGCCTGGCCTTTACGAGTCAGGACTGAGCTGTTGCCAGCTGCGTTCTACATATAGGGCAAACTGCTCAGACAGGATAGCTGAAGATTAACTTCTGGGTAAAGATTAAACAGCATGATTGGAGCATGAAGTAATTAGTATCTTTAGCAGAACAGTGAGGAGTGATTTTTTTGTGTGTGTGTGTGTAATGTTAAGAATCTTCTGAAATGCAACTGCTCAAGTAAAAATACAAACATTTAAATTCAGCTAGCAACAAATATTTCTGTCCACTGCAGTGGTGTCCATGGGAACACTGTGGGTGGGAGAACAGATCACCAAAAGCTCAAGTACTATTAATAAGCTTATTCACTTCTGCAAAGTACATGCTTCATGCTCAGAATATCGGGGAGGCTCACAGAAATCAGTCCTTTTCAATTGCAGCCATTTGTTAGGGCATCTTGGGAGAGTGACTATGCGAATCTGATCATTAACATGAAGTGTTCTTTAATTTTGGCTCCTGGGCCCCCTTAGGACACTTCAATTCCAACAGCTGGAAGTGGTTATAAATCAAAAGCCCCAAAGCTTGGATAAAATAAGTTGTCCAGATTATAAAACAGATTTTTATAGCAACAATCCATCACATAGGAAACCAATAAACAATGTAACAACACAGATAACAGATTTTTCACTGTTTTCCCAACTCAGACATTTACTTAGCTACCAACACAATAGTATGTTAACAGTAGTCCCATGAGAAAAGAAATGCACTCTTTAAAAAAGTGCGATACAACTCTGATGTGCTGCCACTGACTTAACGAGGGACTTTCACGGAAACATTTCAGCATCAGCTTTGATAAACACTGAATCTCAGAAACATGTTCACATCAGTAAGATAGCTGGGGGAAACCTATTCACTTCTCTTCGCATCTTTATTAAAAAAAAACCCCTTTCACTTAAATAGTTTTTCTCCTCTGTTTTCACTTAGCTTTCTCTTTGCTTAAATATTAGGATTTTCTTCCCAGATTTTGTATCATACCTCGTTCCTCAAAATTTCTTATTTAAATTATGAATGTGAAGTTTCACAAAAGGATTTCTTTTAAAAATAGCTGGTGTTTGGCTTAACCAGACACGGAGATGCAAAAGAATTGTTGTTCAAAACAGTCTTTGGTCTTAGGAATAAGGTTTATCTATCAAGTATTATCCAATCGCAACAGCAGAGCAGGTAAATTCCATTCCATTCCATTCCATTATTCTAAACGTTCTCTCCAATCTAGTGACAAAAATTTAAAAGGAGACTGCCAGAAGTCGTCTCCCACACATCATTCTCAAAAACAGCCCAACTGTGGAAAGCGTGGAGAATGAAAATTATTGTTTCTTTATCCTTCCAAAACTTCTCCCTTCGCTAAAGCTTCAAAGATGAATTTTTTCATTTGTTTGACAATCCAGAATTTCAACTACATTTGCCAAAAATATATCCTGTTTAACAAGTGGTTACTTGTCCTTCGGAAATGCAGTCTGCTTGAGCAGTATTAGAAACTCAAATACCTACGTAATTCATGTACTTTCTCAGACATGGCACACTGAAACTATAAATGGCTTCATAAATGTCTACTGGACTGTAAACATGTTCAGTCCGTATTTCCTCCTCTTTCATGCTGCAGCTGTACCAGGTCCACTTACTTTTCTTTGAATTTCCTTCATTCTTTCAAACAAGCAAGTGGCTAGAAAATATGTAAAAATGCTGTGGATGCAATCACGTTTGCCATTCCAAAGCCAGAAAGCTTCAGTTTTCATTTCCCTGAGGGCGATACACAGGCAGCAGTCACGATCATTTTAAGAGACAAGGGTAACTCGGCTGTTCTCTCTCTGATTCAAGAGGATGAACACAAAGGCAATTTTACAGTGAAGCTCTTACCTTTTCTTCTTGGTGATAATGAGGACGTCATTAAATAGGAAGAAGTACACCTGCTGTTTAGAAGTTCTTTTAGAAAAAAGTCCAGTGTCTTCTACGTATGCTGTTAATTCACCCCTTTTCACTAACCATCGTGAAGAGGAAACCAATGGAAATGGCTACAAAGCAAGAAAATAACATTTTAATCTTTCAAAAGTAGAGATTTAAAAAAAAGAGATTACATTATTATATATTTGGGAAAAAATGCTTGAATAAAACTCAAAGCTTGGAGATCGTGAGTACAAGCACAAAGGAGAGGTTATCAAGGTTTAAGGTATCTTCATCATTCATATAATACGCAAGTAATAGCTGCAAATACTTGAAAAATCACTCATGCACATGACCCACTTGCTCATCTAAGAGAAAGACGAAGAGACTTGATTGGTCATACTTGGGACAGAACAGACTGTGAGATCTCCTTAGGAGATTAAAAACACTGTCTTCCAGGAACGTGTAAGTTTTTGTAGAGCGAGCGATCATTCCTTAAGCACATGTGACCATTGGGTTTTCCTCTGGGTACCTCACAGCTTTTCCACCTAAACAGGCGGAAAGAAGAGCTTCAGCTTCTTATCTCAAACATGAGGGCTACTGCACACGGCATTCCATCACAGCCCTAAGGCCAGTTAAAATGATGCTGTACCTTCTTTCTGATGGCGTGTTCTGTACCACTCACAGAATTAAAGTATGTAAAACATGTAAAGATCCACTTTGAAGTATTCTGTGAGCATATGAAAACAGACATAAACAGATACGGAGACAGTGTGCAGGGTTAGATGAGTTCTAATGCAAAACTGAACATCATTATCAACATGTTCAGAGTATGCAGACCTTTTTTTCCCCATGAAAAATCCAAGTACATGAGGAATGCCAGAAGGCTTACCAATCAAATGTGATTTCCTACTCTAAGTAAACGGAAGTTCCAACACAGCTCTGAAAGAATGTGTATGTAGAGTTTGAATTAGTTGTCCATTTTAATGCCAAAACAATATAGTTCACTCATGACATGATAAATTCAGCAGTGGTTTGAAAGATGCATCTGAAAGTTTTTAGAAGACATCGCTTTAGCTATCCACCTCTGAAAGGCCCTATCAACAAAGAACTGGCCTTCCTCAGGAAGAACTTCAGCTTTTTTTCCCCTGTCAGAAAAGGTGACCGTTGTATTTGACCACAACTGCTCTGTAATTTGCCACTGCAGCTGAAGGGGATGGGCAAGTCAGGCACGCCGCTGTAACAAGGCCTGGCCTTCAGCTCCTCAGAGCACTCCCTCAGACCAGACGTGACAACTCACTGAGCATATGTCACTGGTTCCAGGAAAAATCAGTCACATTTGCATAAACCCTCACCCCTCAATTTAGGAGGAATAGGTAGAATCAGTCTTCCAAGGTAGTCACCATACCAAAGCACTTCTGTTTTTTGCCTTGATAGCAGGAAGGGAAATTTTCCAAGTACTTGCTATTCTCATTAGGAGCTCTTGAAATATCATCTGTGAACTGTTACAGCCTTATCTAAGGTGGATAATTAAGGATGCTATAACTCCTCTTTATCTAACTGATGGTAGTTGAACTCTAAATGTTCCGCAGAGCAGCATCTCCGTTTCTCTCTAGGGTGAGGACCAACATCTGCAACAGCTGAAGCAAGCCAAAGAGGATTATAGCTGCCTAATGTGAAGACCAGGCATAATCCAAATTATTCCCAACTGCAGGAGAAACAGGCACCGTAGAAGGAGCTTTGTTTCACTGGGCCACGAACGTGAAGGGACATGTGAGACTGCACATCCTGGTCATACAGAGAACAGATCACCTCTGAAGCTGTGCCATGACATACGACACCAGAAAGACAAAGGTCCATTGCAGTGCAGGCAGCTGTCCCACTGACCAGGATTCCTCAGCCAACGATCTCGCTGCTCCGAGACTAGCACTGAACCCAGCAGGGCTGCTTGTGGGGATGTTTCTCCAATGGCACGCCGTGAACCAGTTCTTTCTGCTAGACTGTGCTGTCACCAGGCAATATCCTAAGCAAAGGTGCTGACCTCCTCCCTAGGTTTCACCCCTCATGGCTGGAATGACCTGTTTGGGTCCTAACCCGAATGCTGAAGATCCTGGTACTTTTGTCTCTCTGCACCTTTGGGTGTTGCCCACGTGCTGGACGGAGCGCCGGAAGCCATCCAGTACCTTCCCCCCGCTGGCACCAGAAAGGACTAGGCTCAGTGGGTGACTTCTGCAAGTGAAGCCCGACCTGCACAGCCTGTGCCTTATGGGTTCTCCAGCAGCAGGTACATGGTATCACTGGAAAACAAGAGGCAACAACTTTGCCCACACTTACTAATATTTTTAACGCAGTAAATAGGCGCTTGCTGCTAAATTTTATGGAGCACATACATTTTCCTTCATCCTAACTGAAATACTCACATTTTTGTTTCTACTTTAAATGTAACTGGCTTTCTGCTTATCAAACTTCCCTACTTGCTTTGCTATTGTTCAAATTAATTATTGGTCTTGCATGATTAGACTAATGAAGACAACTGCTTTATTTCCCTCATTTAAAGCACCTTTCACATGCTTGTAAAAAAAAAAAAAAATTTCTTCACTCAGCTTGTCAGCTGTCTTCTTCATTCTGCATCGGTTGTCTTTTTCTCTCTTTTCATCACTTTAGCTGCTCTTCACTGAACTAATTTAAACTCGTCTATGCTTGCCCCAAAACCAAAACATGGTGCTTTGCCTGTGATTGTGCTATTGGAAGAAAAAATACTAACTCCCTAATCTTACATGCAGCCACCCTTTTGAGGGGTGATTTCACAGTGACTCTGAAGTGGCACACCACAAAACAATTATTCCAAAGATGCTTTCTCTGCCACCATGCCGTACCACAGAACTCTCGTCCCCATGCTGTCCGTTACGAGGCAGTGTACTCATGCCCTAAGATAAAGGTTGCTCAAAATTTCAAAACATAGCAGCGCGCTGGAACTATCGCAGATTGTTACAAATTGAAGAAGCCTTAAATTTTCTACCTTGCCCCAATGAATTTATGTCCCAACATACCCAGAACAGGCAGTAAGGAATGTCCACCCTCACCTGGGACTTGAACACAGACATCCACTGAACAAGACCTTTGCTGTCCTGTACACCTACACTAGGGACCTTTCAAAACCTGCATTATTTCAAAGTGACTACTGATAAATACCAACATATTTCATTTACCTGCTATGACCCTTGTATTTTTGCATTCATGCTACTGAGACAGTATTAGTGTACTGAATCTTGACAAAATTCCCTTCAGATGTTTCTTCCCAATTAATCTAAGCTCACATACCCTGTTTCCATTTATATGACTTTTTTGCAGGTTTCTAGTTTTGTATTAGCCATTAGTTTGTTATATGCATTTTATACTATATTCTCCAATTTGGAAATGTAGAATTGTTTCAAATTCATATTTCATAAATAGGTTTTTATCTGTTAGTGAATCAGAGTCAATCAATCTGGTTATAAATCACTAACTTCAAGCTCATTAATTGTCGCTCATCTCAGACGGGTGCCTAACTTAGGCTTTCTCCTAGGACCATATCGATCATTTCTCTCATGGATGGTCACTTCACTGAAGACACATCATTGAACCTCGCAGGTGATGAAGGACAGTTTAGCTCAGTACTCAGAGTCGACACTCCCAGAGGAACTTCCAAGCTCCATCACAGAAATCAAACAAAAAGGTTTATATCAACATTTGGCTTTAAAAAATATTGGCTTACTTTGAATCACAACTCTGTGGGTTCAGTACCTTCAAGTGACATGCAAATCAATCTGGTTTTCTGGTGTGGTAGGTTTTTTGGGGGGGGGGGGGGGGTAGGGGGGGGTTAAACAAATGGCTTTTACATTTCCTGAAATACAGTAATGGTTCCATGAGACAATACAGGAATGTGAACACTGGCCCATACCCCAACAGTTACCCCATCGTGCTTTTGGTGATGTTACAAAATGGAAAGACTTTGGGCCAGATGCTCCTCAAACACAGAAGTCACAAACAAGTTTGTTTCATGAACACAAGAGCGTGTTTGCAGAAAAAGACTTCTGGTGATAAAGATGGAAAAATTTAATAAAAAAACTTCTGAATCTTAATTAAAAATTAAATTCTACAGATTAGTTGTGTACAAGTGAAATAATTTTTGAGCAGCTTCTCTTGTAGTCTCATGAAATGCTCTACAGTTACATCTAACAAAATAATAAACAACAGACCGAGAACAGCATATGAGGTTGAGCAAGAACAGAAAAAGCTTACCTAATTTATAATGGTTATAAAACAGAATTGTAGCACCCTGATGATTGTTTTTTCAGACAAGAAGTAGTTAAAAAAATTCTATTTGAGCATGAACTCAAAATTCCTCTGATCTGTACTCAGAGTTAATCACATTTTCCTAAGACTATATTCCAGCGGCAGCTTCCTTTTACTTTCATGTTAATTTTTCCTTAATTGCCAAAAGAGTACATCACGTATACCACACTCCTTTCTACATAAAACAAGCTGTCAGAACTTAAAATGTATTGGAACTTGGCCAAAGCAGTCTCTTATACACCAGCTGGCAAGCTCTCAAACTACAGATAAGGTCTAAACCACTAAGTGGTTATATTTAAGATGCACAGAGGAAAAAAACTTGCATAAAAATACAGAAAAACAAAATAAAGTTGCTATTACTCCCATGAAACTAGTGAGAGCTGCTAGCTACAGCACGTCCAGGGAAGAATTACACAGGGCCTCCCGCAAAACTGGGCTAATAGCGTGCATCCTCTTCCCATGGGGAAAGTAAGGGCTATAAACCATTTAAGCTCTTAAACGCTGTTAGGTACTTCTGTAGATTTTAAAACTATCAACGAAACTGCAAAGCAGATTGCCCAAGGACTTCAGGCTGTCCCAAACTCTATTTCAGACTATCCAAAGACTTGAGGCTATTATCCACCATTGTTAGCAAACATAGTGATGTCACTATTCAAGAGATAAATATTACGATTGCTTTCAGTTTTTAGTCAAAGTTTGGAAATAAAAATACTTCAGAGAAGTTGCAAAACATTTTTTTGGAGACAACATTTCCTCAAATACTGACCAAGATCCTTTAAAGAACTGCTTTTTTAAAAACGTGAACCTCTACTTACTACAGGTGTGATAATAAATGAGACATTATTTATAGAAATGGTATTTTAACAAACACTGAATAGAAGAAAGTAAATATACTTCAAGAAATATCTTGAAAGTATAATAAAACTCCCACTAACTATAAGCATGCCTGCTATTTCTTCCTACCGAAAAGGCTGATTGTAGAGGATTTTATGATGCAGCCTAAACTGTATTTTCAGTACTAGAAAGAAAAAAATCTGCAATAGCTCAGCTTCCTAAGAGTCTTTAAAAGTATTTGAGGATTAATACCACCTGTACTAGCAAAACAAAAACTTGGGATTATTAAAGTGAACTGTATTAATAAAGGTGTAGTTTAGCTTAACCGAATTCTGCCGTTGCACAGCTCACTGTTCCCGGCAGGTTTCACACGATTTTGGTTGTGCATCCGATGCTGCCAGAAGCGCTGCCGTAGGCAAAGCTGGGTAACTGCTGCCTGCAGGCATGGCCCGAGCCGACGCACCCAGCTGCTGGGAAAGCTGCTGGGCCGGCGTTTCACACCACCGCCTGGGACTCCGCAGCGTGCAGCATGAACGCTACCCTGCTCTCCATCACCTGCCTCAAAAAGGGTGAGTCCTCAACCGACAGTTCCCAGCAGACCATCTGAATCTTACAGAAATAGACGTTAATTCCAAGAAACACATCCTAACGTGACTGGAAACGGGCCTGGGTTTCTATTTCATGCTGCTGTAAATCAGGGTAGTCAAATACCATTAGGATCCTTCCCTGGCCTAGGAGTATTTACTTAGGCAAACTTTTCCTCTCACATACACGAGAGCATCTCAAACAGCAGCTGCTGGTCCCTCCTAACAGCAAGATCTACACAGCAACTCACTTTGTTTTTACAGCAAAGAATACTTAACGTTTTGCTATAACATAATCCTTCTACTTAAATGAAAATACTTGGCAGAAGTTTTAATCTTTATCCTGCCATAATAGATAATCTCTTTGCAAGAAGTACCTGTGTGATATGAAGACACTATTAAAGTTCCACTTTACTCTTTTTAAAAATATATATCCTGAAAAGCCTCAACCTGAAACTTAACCTACTGGGTTAGATGCAAGAGTCCTCAGCGACTCCCAGTTTCCAGGGTTCAGCTACCCCAGAATATAAACTTGTCTTCCCTGACTGAAAAGTCATGTCAATACTACAGCCTACACTAATTTACTTTGTTTATGCTGGCAATGAACGTATCAGAACTTAACATGTAGTCAAAACTATTCACATGCTAAATGATTTATTGTCAGAAATATCACTGTCATACCTTGATTTTAAATTCCAGTTGGGAGTTAATTGTGTACATCATTTCTGTCCTTTCCATCTTCCGAGCACCTTCATTGCATAAACGCACCAACTAGAAGAGAGACATTTATTTAACAGGTTTAATGTACTCAAGACTTGGAATACAAACTTTGTTCCCTTATAAAATGCACTTCTGAAGAAGCATAAAATTTACAGAGGAACCGACATTTTCAGGTGGGGTCACAGACATCATGTTTTCAAGACCAGACTGAATGCAGCCCTGAGTGACCTGGTCTGACTTGATAGCCAGTTCTGCTCTGAGGCTGGGCTGGACGACCTCCCGAGATCCCCCTCAGCCTGAGCTATCCTATGATACTGTGATAATTATTTATTCTTCAGGGGAGTCCAGATGGTACCAAGGTTCAGCCAGGAGTTCTGACTGAGAAAGGTTATCGCTCTCTGATCCAAGCTAATGATCAGCTCCAAAATAAACAACCTTCCAGACCGACACATCAGTCCCACATGCCGCCAACGTCTACCGTGCACCCCCAGCTCGTTCACAGAAGAAGGTCCCAACGCAAACCTTACAGTGCCGTCCTGTTAAACAAAGGCAAACAGCGTCCCAGAAAAAGTTTCATGGCAGCTGACCTTCAGAATGTGTTTTGGAAGCATGCTACACTTCTACTGAAGCCTGCACGCGGGGGTGAGGAGCACATAAACACAGGGGGGCAAAGACAGAAAGGCAGGACAATGCACCCTTAGCCCCGCATCATCAGGCGAGGATCCGCCCGCCATCGGCGGGTCTCTGCTCCTTTCAGAATCGAACACTGCACTCGCCATACGCTGTTCCTACAGAAAAACCCAACTGTGTTGGCAGCAGCACAGTGTTACCGAGTTTCGGGTATTTTCCTAAGTAACAGACGGTAATTTAGGCATAAAAACAACCCCTAGCCTTTCTTAAATAAAACAGTTTGAGTTTTTATCCTTCCGTACTCTTCCTGTTGCATTATTTATGCATGGAAAAACATCGATTTTTCTCGTAAAGTAGACAAGAACTTTCAAGGCCCAAGGTAATGCTTAGACCCACCATGCAGAGAAAGTTAGGGTTTTTTTAAAAAAAAAGAATGCCCAGTACTTCACGTTTCACAGCAGTCTATGATGGACTATAGTTTCTGAAATTCTGAGATCTTGGAGGCAAAAAATAGCCAGTCCTTAGTTCCTTAGATTTTCAAACCACAATGTTCTGTTTTAAAGTTGTCCATTTCCAGAATATGAATATATTAAACAGATGGATTAGAATTTCCCACCAATTAAAAAAAACCAAACAAACAACAAAAAAACCCCCAAAAAACCCAAACCCAAGAGGTAATCTGATTGCTCAGGTTCAAATGGATGGAACCAGAATTTATTATTCAAGAAGTGCTGTTGACATTTACAGTCTATGCATGGAAATGGACTTGTGCTCTTCTTCCACCATGGATTCTGGGCAAAAAAAAAGCATGACAGCAGGAGAGGAGAAAAACTATGAACAACCGACAGAAGGTGATCTGGTTAACTTACAGTAAAAGCAGAAAGAATGCTTAGGTTTGCTTAGAAGATTCAGACTTTTTTTTCCTCTCTTGTCAGGACAGTGTTTTGGCTTTTTAATTTTATTTTATATGTATGGTCCACCATATATGGTCCACCCACTTTCTGTTGGAATGACTGGCAGCAGAGTTAAGTTTATCCAACTACATGATGGAACAGGTGACCAAAATGAGTAATAAACATGAAAATTAATTCTCGTGGGACTAACGAAAAACAAAAGCAGCCACTTCTCACAGTGGATTTTTGAAATTAAAAGCATGCAGTGCAATTTAGGAAGGAGAACAGTCAAAGCAGAAGAAATTCTGCATCCATATTAAACTTTTAAGAACATACCTTGCTCACTTCTTTCAGAGCTTGCTTGCAGTTCTCGTATTTTGGTGAATCCTTAGGAGTTTTCTGACAAATAGTCTGAAATAAAATGTCAGTTATTTCAGAGGACTAAGAATCACAGATTGTAACGAATACAGAATTTTACATACACATTAACTGAAATCAAAGAGGTGAGGTCACAGCTGTGGACTGGGATAAATGAGGGAACACGAGGTCACTGCCTCAGAGTGCCTTCATGACGCTAAGGAACGCCTCCCTTGAAAGCTTTTCGGAGCAGAGTGGTGTTTTGCACCTCCTGGCCACCCTTCATCCCTGCAATTCCTGCAACACGGCGGAAGAGGCAGCCCATATCCCTCCAGGAGAGGGACGGTTTCTGCTGTCTTGTCTCTACCTTTTTGCAAACCGCAATGAAGCCCCACTGCAGCCGTGAATAACCAGGCCTTCCTGCTTCAATGGTAAGCTTTTCCTGGAAGCTGAAAACCCACTTATGTACAACCGGACTTGCACTAGGAAAACTGTACCAGATTACTCTGACCTCTTTGTGGAAGGTAAGCATTTCCAAAGGGTTAAGAACGGCTCTTAAGGCCACACTGTTATGTGTACCATGGAAAAATATACACAGCCGTATTATTCTATTTTAAAAAAAAAGGCACGTGGAAGGGAAGACAGCTGAAGCATCCAGAGGAAGCGCTGGCAAGTAATGAGAAGTAAAACCAATCTATTGAGTTACATATGAGGGTTGTATCTGTTGACAGAGTTTATTCTCATGAGTTAGAGGTAAAGATGAAGTCCGATGAGGAACAGGCATTTTGAATCAATAACAGACCAGTTAAATTACGTTTTTGCTTGAGAAACAAAAACATCATAAGATATTTTACATTAAATTAGTCTTTTGTTTAATTATGTTCCCTCCTCTCAATGCAGTTGGGAGTCATATTTCTGGTACTGAAGCCTTAAAAATTGAATTCACTCTGAAGTCTCAATATAAAGGTTTACACACAAGAAAAAAAACCCACAAAACCTGAAACAGTGGAAAATAAAATGCCTGGTTTGCTCGTTTAGAAAAAAACAAGGGGAAGGCACACCAAAGTAATACTGGATTATGAGTCCATTTTTTACCTAGAAACGTACTGCAGAGGAGAGAATACTCAGCGTCCATGAATGAACTAAATAACTACCCGTATGTTCAAAGTAATCAGTGCACAATTTTCAAATATATAGTAGAATAAAATTATTAGTCCCGTTTCTGGATCCTACCACCGCCAGAATCTGAGCCTGGATTTTAATCTGCACTATTGCTGGTTGGCCAGCTCATACATTTAGCTCTAGCATCTTAACCGAAATACTGTGAAATAGGTGTGAACTTTGCCTCACAATTACTCACTTGCACTTCCTCACACTTCCCAAGTCACCTGCTCACCCACACAGGAAGGGAACATCTCACAGTGCAACGTGCTGCTGGGAAACCGAGTGTATCAATACTGCCCCACTCAGGAATAACTCCCGTGCCCTTGAGAACCAAGTTCATTCTTCAACGTCACACAGTGACACTCTTAACTGAGGGCTAAGTTAATGACCCTGTGTCTGCAAGTATTTACTGCAAAAGGATCCTGACCTAACCTATGTGATAGGAAGTCTTGTTTTGTAAACTGTAGGGTTTCATTTTAATCCTAACACTACCTACAATTTCTGTGCTAGGTTCCTCCTCCGTTTCATAATCGTTTTGACCCTTTCCTGTACAATTTTTCTATTAGAATGTGTAAATATTTAACTTTTGAATGGGGGATCAGGAGCAGAAGGTACCAGTCACAGTGTCCTGGTTTCAGCCAGAGTAGAGTTAATTTTCTTCACAGAAGCTAGCATGAGGCTATGTTTTGGATTTGGGATGAGAAAAAGTTGATAATGTGCTGATGTTTTGAGTTGTTGCTAAGAGGTCAAGGACAGCCCAGCTTCTCGTGCTGGCCTGCAGCGAGCAGGCTGGGGGTGCACGGGAAGCTGGGAGGGGACGCAGCTGGGACAGCTGACCCAGGCTGGCCAAAGAGATATTCCATACCATATAACGTCATGCTCGGTATATAAAGCTGGGATGAAGAAGAAGGAAGCGGTGGAGGGACGTTCGGAGTTATGGCGTCTGTCTTCCCAAGAAACCATTACGCGTGACGGAGCCCTGCTTCCCTGGAGATGGCTGAACCCCTGCCTGCCCATGGGGAGTGGTGAACAAATTCCTTGTTTTGCTTTGCTTGCGTGCGCGGCTTTTGCTTTACTTATTAAACTGCCTTTTACCCTTCCGATGCTCCCCCCCGTCCCGCCGTGGGGGAGTGAGCGAGCGGCTGCGTGGTGCTTGGTTGCCGGCTGGGGCTAAACCACGACACACAGTAAGCAAACAAATGCTACAGTACTTCACAGTCAATGGAGAAGTATCTACAGCCCTGTAACCTGGTAGAAGTAAGAAGATATGAAGAGACTGGAATGAACTAGGAATTGGATAGAAAAGAATGCTAACATTAAAAGAACATGCATCAAGGGAAAATAGAAAAATAACTCTGTTCTCACATCCATCAGCAAGGGAAGACGAGTAACCCTCTGCATGGGAAGAATGAGGAAAGAGATCATTGGTAAATTCCGGCAATCTTCATGGGACTCGATCCGTGATAACACCTCTTTAAATGCTGGATTTGTGGCTCTGGTGGGAAAAAGGGGGAGCAAATTAAACGGTATGTTTTATCACAGAATTGTGAAAGTTACTGAATCTTAAATAAATCATTATTTTATCAATAGGAAAGTGTGATTTGAAGGAGCCACATCAACTAAGCCTTCAGCTTTATTTATATGCAAAACCTCAAATTCTCCCATACAGGAACCTGAGCACAGACTCATATGTAACACTCAGGGAAAGAATGTCTCTGACATTGATTAAACCGGGCTGATCAGTGGAAAGGGAACGTAACGCCTGACCACAAAGAGGACTGGACTATGCAGCCAGCCATGTTTTCACTCCCAGTTACTTCAAAGGAACGTGTGCCTAGTTGGAAGCCATAGGTTTTGCACCAAATACCACAGCCTGCTACTTACTCCTACTACAGAGGGGGTAATTTTGCAATCATATTTTAAAATCAGTTCTTACAGCAATTTCTGCAGTGTTCGCTGCTGATAGACTTCATTGGTACAGTATTTTACATATGGATCAAATGTTGAAGAAGTATGTTTTTCAACTATATCACTAATATCATCAATAAAGATGTTGTTCTGATGTCTTGCTTCAAGTTCTTTAAAGAACCTGTGAAAAAAAGAAAATTAATTACTTATTTTTACAAAAAAATAGCAGACTTTCTCTCACAACACTTTACACTTCACCTGACGCAACCCATGACTTTTATAACCCAATGACAACTGGAATGCTTTCTGAAAGGGCGAGGTCATCTCTCCTTTGGCAGAACAAGAAGGGAAATCTTTACATGATACAAGTCAAAGGGTGGCAGTGTCACCTGGCAGAGCTCAGCATAAGCAGTGCTGGAGGAGTTACTTCCCATTCTCTAGCTGCCAAAACCAAAACAGCATTACTGATCTGGCTAGACTAGAATTTCCAGAAACAGGGTTGAAAAAGAAACGAAACAATTTCAAGCACACATTAACACATTTCCTCTTGTAATACATGAAGTACAATACCAGAAACGTTCAATGAAATAAAGTTGTGTGTGAACTGCTAAACTAAGAAGAAAAAAATATATAGCAGGCTGAGCTGGACAAGGTGCTCATGTAGCATATACTTCAATCTACCACTGGAACCAAACACAGATTTGAAACAGTGAAAATGGGAACAGAGACCAAAATCCTGAGCTGCCTTTTTCCCCCTAAACATACTGGTTCTAAGAACTTCCCTATTGTTCGTCTCTGTTCCATATGTGAGTCCCTTTGGCCTCTGAAAGCTTTCCACTCCTTTTTGCATTTCCAATTTTAGCAGAAAACAAAAGCCTTTATTTCCTCGATGCTCATTAGAAATATCTCACTGTTTGGCATGTAAGACCTCACACAGATCAGCTATTGCAGGTCATGAGAATTACCTCCACCGACACTCTGACACCAGTGCAATTCTTACCTAGAAGCTGCTGAAAATCTCTCATACTAGTCTTGCCTGCAGCCTTTATACAAGGTGATTCACTAGAAGAATCCTGAACTCCTCAGAGCAAACCAGCTAATAAAAACCCTCTCATAAAGCACAGGAAAATGAAGGAAATACTTGGAACACATGATCTCACATCAAGCTAAAATATTTTGAAACACGTTTTATTTTACTTTGGCCCTTTACATTTTCTCTTTACTAACACTGGCTCTTCAAAATCTGTCACCGTGCAGCATTTCATTTTTTTAAGTGCACCACCAATGTTTCTCCACAGTTTGTAAAGCAAACAAACCTCAAACACAAGAAGAGCAGAACAGGATGAACAGAAGCTTATCATACAAGTGTTTAACAACATGGGTGAACTAAAATGAAGATCTTTCTTAGGTATGCTTAGAAGAAGCTCCCTGAATTGAGTGGTTGCCAGATTCTCACTTGGTCAATCACACAGAAGACTCATGGGGAAGGTGGGGGTGTTTTGGTTTTGGATTTTTTGTTTGGTGGGTTTTGTTTTTTTAAAGTTCTGACACATTAACTGCAGATTGAATTGGCTGATGTTTATCTGTATTATTATTTAATGAAAAACGGGACACTGCCTACAAATAGATGTAACGCTGTTCACAGCACAGCTTTCTCCTCACGCCTCCCCTTTAAGTGGTGCACAGTATTTTTTCATAGCCTTGCCACTTTTGGAAGGCAGAGTCCTCCAGCGTCCTTCTATCCTCCACCCATCTTATTTCAAAGCACGAAATATCAAGTTGTCACTGATGCGTATTATGCTACGTCTTTAGGGTTTTAGTATCAAGAACAGGACTAAGTGGCAAAGCATACTAAGTTGTTCTGACATTTCATAGAATACATGGACAAATAGTAAAGTTAACAGTTGCCTTAAAATTTCACAGGGGTCCAAGAAGGAAAAAAAACCCAAGTGTCTCCAAGCCAGTCTACAATTTCTCATGAACCACAACAGTCAGATTTCAAACACTGACCACACCATGAACTGCAGACGACTGGAATTCGTTTCCACTCTACTCAGGCATGTTTACAGTTGGGAGAACTTCTCAGGGTGCTGCCAATTTGCTTTGCTCAGGAAATTAGTAAATACATTTCTTCCTGCTGTATGGTATGGCACACTGACAAGGTGTTTGACCATGTTGGGCTAGAACTTCCACTTTTAGAATTGATCTGGTTCTTCACCAGTGACATCATCAGTCACGGTCACAGTCAGGAACAGTAAAAACCTTGGATAGTAGAAAATAAAATTAAAAAAAGAAGAAAATAAAAAAAGAGAGGGGCAGAGAGAAGCAGCACAACCAAGTCCCATTGCCCGTAACACGTACTGTAAGAAATACTACCTCTGGAAATCATGCATCAAAGTTTGAATCAAAGGCTGGGGTTTTTTTGAATCCAATCTGCTAATTACTATATACAATCAGTGAAGCAGACACATCATAAAAACCTTTTACTTAACATTTTAGGACAGATTCTGTCAAAGATCAGTACTGAGTGATCGAGTGACCATATCCAATACAACCAACTATGAATTAGTTGTGCTGTGACTGGCTTTTTTTGCTTAATACCAGATGGATTTATTTAAAGCATCTGTTCTGGTAAATCCAGAACTTTTCTGGTTAAAGTTAGATCGAGTTAAGTGAAAGTCAAAGAGCATCATATGGCAGCATTTGATTTCCCTTGCCTTGCCCTTATGTCGTCTAAAAGAAATGTCCACTTTGTAATACTCTGAAACTCCCCCTCCCCTAAAGGCTATGTGCCAAATTTAGAAATATGGGTTTGATTAGTTTCCTGTCTTTTTCTTTTTATAGCACAAGATCTAGAAACACTGGAGATCTCTCTCATACTGGAGTTTGCCCTGTCTTTACGACAAGAGTTTTCTCCTTAAGGTTTTGGTGGCTCCTGTTAATGGTCTTCCCACGTCTTTAGGCAGATCATTAACAAGCTGGTAATCACCATCAGGAACAATGGCCTAATACCTGCTCAGGCAATTTTTTTATGCTATTTTTTCCTACTCCTTGGCACTGCTTTAATCAATGACCGATATCCTCAACTTTCTCAAAAACTCTACTTAATTCAGCAGCGTGAACACAAATGAACAGTGGTACATGCACAATGTGACAAACTATTCCATACAAATCACCTTTATAATGGCCTAAACTATGTCTCATTACAATGGCCAAACTCCCATCAACATCAACAGAAGTTCTACTTAAACAGATGCCATGAAAAAAATATGCAAAATAAAAGCCCTAAAATCAGTCATTTTGGTCAACTTTTCTCCTCAACATTTACTCTCCCTTCACCCCTAGACAAAGAAATTAACTGAGCAGGACTTGCATTCTTATGAATATTGTACCTTTCCATATGGATATTCCAAAATTAGATTGCACTGTTTTAAAAAAAATCTAATTAGGGAGGTAAAAGAGATTTTATCTAGGCAGGCCAAATTAGAGTCAGAAGAACAATTACATTATGGAATCAGTTATTATCCGGGAGCAAGAAGCATACAGAATGAAACAAGAGCACATAAAAGAAATATACAGAAAGGCGAGAGGTACTGCAAAAAAAAAAAAAAAAAAAAAGGTTTTTTTTTTATATCAAGGGTCATTACAGAAGAAAACTGATACCAAAGCCTTTCTGGTGAGTGAGACTAGGAAAGAGGAGGCTTGGTGGAAGATCTGTCCGAAACCAAAGTGGATGTGGAACGCCAGAAGTCACCAGAACCAGGTGGTCAGCACCGAAGAGAGCTGGGGGGGCGGAGGGGGTGGAAAACTGATAAAGTTACTATGAGATCAGTTTGTTCTGTCTGCAGGATGACAGAACACACATAACAGCATTACCAGGTTGGCAAGAGGGACAGATGGTGTAGTATCATGATGGTTTTGTATGCGGGTTACGTAGCAGTCATAGAATCAAGGTTCTCTAACATTTATCTGACTTTTTGCCTACTGCTCAGAGTACTCATTTTTTATCTCCTTGCGGGTTCATGTGATTCTCCACTGCTAACCATTCCGGACAGGGCTGTCGTTCCGCTCCGGCAGATGCCACAGTCACCGGAAATATCAGCCCGTCACCAAAGCCATTCTGTGTGTGAAAGTGAACTGCGGTCTGGCTTGTAGATCGCTTACTTCAATTTCATTATTATTGCTCTTGCTTAATGGTTTTGAAGTCATATGACCTATATGTGTGGCATAAAGAAGATTATAATACCGATTTAGCTTCACAGTGATGTTGCTGCTGACACATTACCATCCAGTAACAGAAAAAAGCCACTGGGGCAGAAGCAAGTACAATTTAGCTTCCTCCTCTTAGAGATAAGGGAACTGGAAAAACAGTTACTGATTTCAGGTAACTTCAGATAAAAGTAATAAAAATTTCTGATTATCATCTCCAAAACTGAATCTTCTCATCAGGAACAGAAGCTTAACATCTGCATCACAACTGGGGAGAGGGGGGGAATTTAAAATAGTAAAAATGGGGAAAATTGCAGCCTTATTTCCATAGAATATTTATGCTGAATTAAAATCAGAGCTTTCAGTGAAAGAATGGCTGAAAAAGAGGGTGATTAAAGTGAATAACTACATCCACAGGTATTTGAAATTCATCCGTTTGTTACGGCAGTTACTACAATCTCAGTAATGGAAAACAATACATACATACACATATATTTATAACGCCAAACACTGCAAAGCTAATAGCCCATAAAAATACTTTTATGAAGCAATATCTACTAAGTAACTACAAAGCCAAACAAGAAAGAAAGAAAGAAAGAAAGAAAAAAGAAGACCCTGACAGCCTATTCGTTCATTCTGCAACAAACTGGAACGACTTTCCACAAGTAACTGTCCTAATGGTAAGCCACTTGCCTTTTCAACTATTTATAATACTCTGGCAGAAATCCAGAACAATAAAGACGCCATGGCAACCCTGCCAATATATTCTGTGACAGCGAGATTCTTGAGATCACGGGTAAGTGCTCACAGCATCTAGCTCAATGGTAAGCATTTCAGAAAAAACAGATCTTGATTCGACCAATTAATACCCACTGACAAATGAACTCACAAAGAACACTCTGTGGCACTAGAAACGTAAATCTTTTTGATAAATTACGAAGACATCACAATAGGAGTCTTCATTTTAAAAGC